ATGGCAACGGCTTCCTTTGCTGGCCTAATAATTGCCACTGTAATTGTAAGTGCCGAGGCTTTGCAGCAGGTTTGAATGGGAGGCAGCAGCTGTGTTAGCAGGTGATGGATTCATTGCTCCAAGTGGCTGCTGTGTGCACTCCCATGATTCAGTATTTCCTTAATTCTGGGGCTTTCAGAGCATTTGGAGAACACAGAAGTCTTAGGCTGTGATGAAAACTGGCCCAGCCCTAAATCCCGATGCAATGGAAACAGGCTAGGCAGCTTAGCTGCAAAATGAGGTGACTAGGAGAGATTTATATTATTGCAAATACCAGGACACACCTGCAGCTACATAAGAGCCAGTCACTTGGCCTTCTTCTCAAAGCTGACGTGTGCCCTGTAAGGGCCTTTATAGGGCCAAAAGCAGAGGTGGAAGGAAGCAGCACATTTAACTTGTTAAGCGTATTATCTCTTTGGGATGTGCGAGTCTTCGCATTCCTGGGAGACTCTGGGTATGTGATAGATGATATCAGGTATGTGTTGTGTGAGCTAAATCAGGGAAAAGGGGGAAAATGCTCCAGTTCTGAGTAAAAACAGGAAAGAGAAAAAGAACTGCTTGCCAAGAAGAAAACACTGTGTGTGTTCATGCTAATGGGCTTCCCACACCTCAGTTTGCATTGCCATCACAGTGCTAAAAGGAGCTTTAGTCTGGACGTGAGCATTTTACACTTCATCTGTCACCAGTTAAAAATAATAATAAAAATGGGAACGGTCTAATTGTGCTACCTTCTCGTTTTTCTGCCTTTGTAAGGCAGGACCTCCTTGCAGCTGCAAATCAGTGAGCTGTCCCCCCCCCACAGCCAGTCCTTTGCAGGTCCTTGTTTGGCTGCTGGGCAGAGAGGTGCAGCAGCTCCTGCACATGCAGAAAACACAGATGGTCCTAGTTCCTTCTGAAGGAGGTTAATGGGGTGATTAAGGATGTGCCAAAAGTCTAATGTACTTCTGCAGACATCTTAAACCAGTTCCAGCAGATCATTTCAGACTGTTCTGGCCCAAAAGGAGCCTTGCTTCTCAGGATCCAAAGTCCCAAATGGAAGTCCTTGCTCTTGATGAAGTACTGTGAGTTTTGTACAGCTGTAAAAATGTAACCGTGTAAATTAAGTATATTGTACTTAGTCATTTTGATTTTACAAAAAAATTGTATGTGCAGAGGTCTAGGTGCCATCACACTCTTTCATTCTTTTTTTTCCTTGCCATTTTAACCTAATTTGCACAAGGAGATGTTACTGGCAGATTTCTCCAGGTGCATATTTACAAATATTATCTATTTGCCCAACAGAGGTGGAGAATAATTTGTGAGGATGCTAGGAGCTTGAGGTTCGGGAATATTATAAAAATATTATTAAAAAGGCGCTACATAAATACTATATAAAATCATATTTATTTGACATTACCTAATATTATATAAAAAGGTACTACTTGGCTTTTAATAAGAGCACGCTGCATTAAGACAAGGGGAAGTGGTGTTAAACTGAACAAGGGTACGTTTTAGAGTAGATGATAGGAAGAAATTCTTTACTGTGGTGGTGAGGCACTGGCACAGGTTGCCCAGAGGAGATCTGGCTGCCCCTTTGCTGGTTGTGTTCAAGGCCAGATTGGATGGGACTCAGAGCAGTGTGATGTTGTGGAAGGTGTCCTGGTCCATGGTGAGGTGGATGAAACAAGATGGTCTCTAAGGTCCCTTTCACCCCAAACCAATTTGTATTTTTGTGATTTGATTAATATAAGGAGGTGGCTGTCTGCTGCTTCTGGGGGCTGTTCAACTGAGTATCCACAGAGGGAGCACATAAGTAGGACTTGCATGGAGTAAAGGTTTTGTGCTGACTCTCAGCATTTTTCTGAGTGCCATTCAATTAGGATAAAAAGCTGTGACTCACAGGACATTGACTCAGCACTTATCACATGAACAAGCTCTCTGCCCGCATCCTGGGTTTTTCACTCCTTATTTCCTTAACCTGCAGACGTGCTTCCTTTTATACTGTTAGATCAAACTCACCTGTTACACCTCACTGCAACACATCTAGATCTGTGGCATTATTTTTAGGAGGTGAATCAGGCTTACTTTTAGGAGCAACTAATTTTTAAAATCTAAATGAAGCAATAGAAAGAAATCTCTCACACCTACTAATCTCCCGAGTCAGAAGTGCCAAATTCAGATTCATCTTGCTGAAATTTCAGAACGTTTGCAAACTTGATTCTACCCTTACAGTTCAGACTGGTTTATATATATAGGACTATTGATGTTGTGGTAGAAGGAGTTTGGGGTGTTACACAACACACCTTCAGTGATAATGATGTTTTCTTTGCTCAGGGGAGAGACTAAATCATATCCCTTGTGTCTTGTCTCAGCACATGGGGTAAAGAGACTGCTTCTGATGTTTTCTGCTTAAGATTCACATGCTGGTTTAGGAGGAGATGTGCAGGTGACTGGAGACAGTACAGGCAAAACACACTTGTCTCAGTGCAAACGGGGCAGCCACAAATCTGGAATAAATTGTTTGGTACTGGGAGCACTTTAGTTCTGGCTCTTGTGTGGAGATGCAGCTCAGATCCAGGCTGTATGCTGCTAGCTGCTTGGAAAAGCTTTAACTGATGTCTGCCGAACTTCTGCAATGCAGTCCTATTTTCAACCTTTTCTTGTTTTGTTTTGTTTTTTTTTCTTCTTTCGTTTCCATTTTACAAGTGACTGGTTGATTGCCAGGGTATCGGAGGGAAAGGGCAAGGCTTGGATAATCCCAGACTGATAGGCTGACTGTGGAGGGCAAATACTTCATTCTATCTTACTACCTCCCCTTCTGCTCAGTGGGCAAGAAAATCCTCACATGATGGTGTCTCCAAACCTGAGGGCTGGGGAGATTTGCCATGAGGTCACCCACTTAGTCACTATAACCTAAATATTAAACTTGGGCAAAAATCATGTTCTCAACTAGCCCTTTCTAGCATTAAATCACTGCCACCATATTTCAAAAGTGAAGTACCAGCACTGTGTTCAAATCAAAATCAAAAATGAGAGTGGAAGAGAAGACAGATGTTTTTCTGTATAGTGCAGAGCACGTCCAGTGACAGCTTATGGGTCTCTCGTGGGTTGCAGTTCAAGAATACGCTGTTTGCCTTGCCTTGCCTTGCCTTGCCTTGCCTTGCCTTGCCTTGCCTTGCCTTGCCCTGTCTCCCCTCCCCTTCCTCCTTTTTCTCCTTCACTCTCCTCTTCTTGGGTTTTTGTTTGGTTTCTGGGTTTTATTATTAGATGGGGTGTATTTTCTTATTCTCCAGCTCAGAGTAGTCCAAAAGAAAAGCATCAAGAGCTCCTCAACCATCTGTTCCCTCCAAGGTCTGATCATCTGTATCCAGATACTATCTAAGACATTTCTCTAACTTTTCTTAACAGAGTTGGGCAGTGGGATTTTCCGTGCTCCATCTATTCCTCTGCTTGGAGCAACCAGGGGACTTGAAAATGTTCTACAATTTCTAACCTGAATTTTCATTGTTTCCATTTACTTTCTGTCACATCCTCTAGACATGATAAGCAATTTATTATAATCCTCTTCAGAACACCCATTGTTAGGGTGGCATCTTCCCACTTCACTGTTTTCCCTTTTTCTGAATGAACTCCTTTATTTTGGCTTTGCCTCTTACATCAGGTTTTCTAAGCTTGCTATCCTTAATGTATCATTGACATTACTTTGTCATTCTGAGGAATGGTGCCCTTCACTGGACACTGCTTTCCTTCAAAGGCTCACCACTGGGGAGCACAGGAGAACAAGACCTCTCTGCTTGCCCACCATTTACTTTGCATCCCCAAGTGACACATTTTCATAATATGATCTACTTAGTTTCATATAAATCATTCTTAAAAGAGTTGCAGGCTGGACTTGAAAAAAGTCAAACATTTATTCCTGATTGATTTGCTGGAATTTTTCTGTTTCTCCCTAACGATTTAAATAGCCTTCCCTGAAGGTCCATCTCACCAAAAGGTCTAACAGCCCTCCAGAGATTAGCCAGGAGAGCTCCCTATTGCTCTCCGTTTCACCTACAATAACCTCACTGCAAAGGTTCCTTGCCAGCCTTCTGGGTCTGTGAACCTTTTTGTAATGCCACAGATGGGAGGCATAATGGTGTCTTTGCTCTCTTAACTCAGGAAGGCTCTAGACACAAGCGTCTGCTTTTCTTTTTATCAAAAAAATAATACCCCCAGCTTGTTAACTGCTGTGGGGCCTGCGTGTAGGAAGATTATTTTACCTGGGCCCTAGTACATAGGTGTCCACATCACAGAAACCTTCCCAGATGGTACTTATGTTGATTCCTCACTGGAAAAGCCAAGGACACAGTAGGGGTGAAACTGGTCTGCTTTTTTACGCTTTTAAATCAGTCCTTCCATATGGTCCTAGGAACAGTAAAAGGTAGACATAGGAGTTCAGCTGTGCTCGGGACTCTACACCGTGTTCACAAAGGACAATTCTCTACCTGATGTGGCCAGTCTGGTCCTTGCTGCTACCTTAATATTTAGCTTTTTTAAATTAGATCGGGAAAAAAAATTGAAATAAGTTGCTGAGCTCTGGACACAACCAGACAAATCAGTTGGTGGCCTTCAGAAATTCAGAATTCTAGTTCTGCTAGACAGGATACACAGGCCAGTGCTTTTCTGTAAGTCACAGCATCATAGATGGGAAATAAAGTTACTCTTCTAAACAAAAAGTATAGTGCCGGTGAGGAGTGTTGGAAAAATATTGTTAAAATACAAGCTAATCATATTAAGTAATTTTCTATTCTTTGCTTCATTTTCTTCAGCTGAAAGCTGTGATTTTCTTCTCATGAGGCCAGAAAAAGTCAAGGCTGTCTGAAAGAGTGACAGTACATTTTTCTCTGAAAAATCTGGATGATGACTTGAAGAATTGGTCTCTGCTTTGTAGGATGATTCATCCTCTGCTGATGCTGTTGACTTCATTACATTCTCTCTTTCAGATATGACAGCTTTGGCCGCCTGACCAACGTGACCTTCCCTACTGGCCAGGTGAGCAGCTTCCGCAGCGATACCGACAGCTCCGTGCATGTCCAGGTGGAAACTTCCAGCAAGGATGATGTTACAATCACAACCAATTTGTCAGCATCGGGGGCCTTCTACACCTTGCTCCAAGGTGAGTTGGGCCACCATCCCTCTCCTGACCAAGCTGCACACAATGGATCAGGAAACACGCAAACAGGATTGATAATCCCAGCACCAAAAATCCACCTGCATTCTCAGTGCCCCAGAGCTCCCCACATGCTGGTACAGACACACACTCACACCTGCTTAGCTTCATTCCCTAGCACAGTGGATGCTCTGCAGCTGTTTTTCTGCTCCATTCCCAGCCAGTCCCCTTGCCGTGCAGGCTCATGCAGTACAGTCCTCCATCATCATTACCATTATTGTTGTAACTAAAAGGGTTGCATAAATCAAGCCACACTTCCAGCCAACCCCTTTGCTTCAGTCTCTTAATGCTTCTGACTTAACAGTTGCTCTTCTCCTGGAACAGGCTTCCAGCTGGCTGCTGGAGATCTGATTCTTTTTTCACTGGCATTTCAAACATTCACAAGGAAGCATCCAGAAAAATGACCATCTCTGTTCCCTAAAGGTTTGTGTTTGAGCTAAGAGGTGGTGTGGAGAGGCACAAAGACATGAACAGGTGGGATAGGACTGGTAGGACCAGTTTGTGTCTGTGGGAAATGAGCACAATTGTGCTTGTGGTAGGAAGGTGGGAAGCAGAGAACTGATTAGGTGAAGGAAAAGGAAATGAAGTGGGAAATAAAAGAGGAATAATTATCAGGGGAGCACTGTGCTGACATGCTGGTAATGGCAGAACCTGTACTGCACAGAGTGCCAGCCTGGATCTCCAGGTTCTGAAAGCGGAAGCCTCCTTAGGATCAGGGTGAGCTATCACACCTGTTCCCTGGGGCTTGGTGAAAGGCAAGGAACTTTCAGACTCTCCTTTCCTTACTCCCCAGATCTCATTCACTCTGTCTGTGATTGATGACAATGGGGTGTGAACCATCTTTTCTCCTTCTGAGTAACAAACTGGTCCAAGTGGGACAAGCATGTTCCAGAGTGACATTTTTTTCCACATCTCTGGGATACAATTTCCTTCCCCCTCTCTGTATCATCAACCTGTCCTAAAATAAAGTGCCTGCTATGCCTGAAACACTGCTTTTACCCTTTTGGAGAGAGCAGCTGAGACGGTTTCAGCCCCCTCAAGCTGTCCCCATATTCCTGTAGGGAAACACCAAGACATCATTATCCTTTACTTGAGCCTGTAAGATGGATACAACCTACCCCACCACATCTCATTCACTCACTCATATTAAGATGTGTGGCAACTGCACAGCCATGAGGTTGGCTTCACCTCAAGAGCCTACTAAAGCAATAGAGCCCACTGTTGGGGGTCCTTTAGTGACAAAATTAACTGTGGTGTGATTTATACACTCAGTGCTGAAGGCAGAGTTACATAATGGTGCCACAGTCAATTCTGTCATTGTCCTGCCCTCCAGCACAGGGACATTCTGGCCATTAGAACATGCAGAATTACAAACAGCTTAACAATCTTCAGAAGTATAAAATTATGAAACTGTTTGGATCTGAAGAAACTCACTTAAAACAAAGATCTGGGTAATGTTGCAGAAGAGGTGGCTTGGTGAGCGAAATTCTTGGCGAACCTTTCAGGAAACCTGGATCACACTGTGAACCGGTGAGATGTGAGAAGGCATTTTCAGGAGATTGCAAATTCCAGTAGGATGGATGTAGGAGCTTCTGCAACAGGCACATCAACACTCCAGTGGGATTTTGTCTTCTGGACTAGTGACAAAGTGAGCATTTGTTCAATGACTAAGTAGGGCAGTAGTGCCCTAGAACCAAAGCAGCCTAAAATACAGCATCCAGCGGCCCACAGATCTCATGTAGCCCTTGAGAAATGTCTTCCAGAGCCAGGGTAGAGTCTTCTCTTGGGAAAATGTTGAAAGTAGAGGGTTAACATTCCCCACGCTGTACCACAGCACTGGTATAATAACCCTTCTGTGGTGCTTATGTAACACAAAGGGAACATCGTATGTCTGATTAATTTCATGTAACTTCAAGCCTTCCTCTGCTTCCTGGTGAAGGAAAAAAGAGGGAGGAATATATTCACTATTCAGGAATTTGATTTAAAGCACATCTCCTAATACTTTAGCATCAAACCAAGTGTCTAAGAAAGATGTGGAAGCCAATTGGCTGGCCCTTCTCTCCATTTGCAGACTTAAGCGTGGTGGGGGTTTGATCTGACTGGAGTCAGTGTCAGAGACCATCAACTTACATACTCAGTGATAGAGCTGTAATACTTGGATCTGCATTGTGAATCACTGCTGTATGTTTTTGGCAAAATCCTGTGCCCCAGTGGTTTCATTGTCACTGCTGTGTAAAGTTGAGCGTCTGTTGAGGTCTCTGTGGCAGAATTCCAGCTGGCTACCATAGGAGCAGGATGAGACCCACATAAAACAGGACCCGTTGGTGTCACGTTTCCTTCCCTAACTATACCAAACTGTGCTCTTTGCTGATCTATTTCTTGGGGACAAGAAATGGTAATTTCACTGTAATCTTGTTTCCTGCTGAGCTATGGCAGAGCAACTAGTGAACAAAACCCAGTTTGCCTCAGAAAGGAAAAACACTTAATGGGAATTTTCAGTTGGTGTTTTTATTCACAATTAAGAGTTTATGGCAGCCTGGGACACAGAAATGGTAATATTTTCCAGCTTTTGAGGAGCTTCTGATAAGGCAGTGTTTGTATAATATGTTTTTAAAGCCATTCTGCACTGAGTAAATCTCATTCTTTCTTGCCCTTCATGAGCTACTCTCTGCAGAGATAAATGCCAGCTGGAGATTCAAAGGATGGGCTTTCAGCCTGCCTGATTCCTGAAGGATATAGAAGAGAGATTGCTCTTCTGTTCAACTCCTCAATTCCCAAATACTGGCCTCAAAATCTGATTTTTCAAAGCTAGTGGAGGCCAGATGTATAGAGACGTGTGGGAGCTTAATGCCTCTGCTTTCTCTCCAAACATGAGGACTTCAGTTACCTCCTGAAAGCTTTCTCAAGGGAAAGGATTTGGCTGTTGTTTGGGGAACTGGTTAGCATTAACTTGCTGTGCAATTTCCTGTCACTTGTGAGACAGTGAATGAGCTGAGGAAAGTAGGTGGCCCCACTTTCTCATATACTGTTGTGAAATTAAGATCTTTAGGATATAAAAGCATGGAAAGTTTTCAGTCAGACTGATTTAAAACAAATATTTCACCACACAGTGTTTTAGCCTAGAGGAAGAGATTTGAGCCTGCATCCTTTGGTAAAGTATTACACAGTTTTTTCATTTTTTTAACCTGTGGAAGATTTTCTGCAAGAATATGAGGTGCCAAACTTCATCAGAATGAAACAGCAATTGTCCATGTTTACTTTCCTTGATGAAACCGATATTTTGCTCCTGTTGAGTGGGACAGGTGAGTAACAGAGCATTTGGTTACAACCATCTGAAATGCTGATGCAGCCTAGGTGAGGGAGAAAATGAAAAGCTGGAGCTGTATCCCCAAAGATCAGCAAAGAACTCTTTTCTATCTTCAGACCAAGTCCGAAACAGCTACTACATTGGTGCTGATGGCTCCCTCAGACTGATGCTCGCCAATGGCATGGAGGTGGCCCTGCAGACCGAGCCACATCTGCTGGCTGGCACTGTCAACCCCACCGTGGGGAAGAGGAATGTCACCCTGCCCATTGACAACGGCCTCAACCTGGTGGAGTGGAGGCAGAGGAAGGAGCAAGCAAGAGGGCAGGTCACCGTCTTTGGACGCCGGCTGAGGGTAAGTGAGAAGCACGAGCACTTTTGGCCTCCACTTGCCATCTCATCAGTCCCCAGTCTCATGACAGAAAGGGATGGGTATGAGCTGTATTGTCTGCAATATGGATGGAGCTGCAAGATGGAGAGTTGGCTGTTCACCCTCAGTGACATAACCTTTATGACTGGAGTATATCATTGTGTCTCCTTATGTGCTGATGTTCCCTTAGCCATCAGAGGTGGTACTGCTGATCTCTCTGCCAGCCCTCTGCATCACTGGGAATGCATCACCTCCCGTCAGACACCACAGGTTCAACCATCATCTCAGGCTGTTTAAGCAAGCCAGGGACAGTCATAACTATAAAATACCACACCAGGTAGTGCAGGTGTTTTCTACCTGTGCTGCTGACAGTGATAGAGCAGAGTACTGAAAGGCCTTCTAAGCATGTCAGGACAGGCTGAGAGAGCTGGGGTTGTTTAGCCGGGAGAAAAGAAGGCTCCAGGGAGACCTTAGAGCACCTTCTATTACCTAAAGGTGTTCCAAGAGAGCTGGAGAGGGACCTAGGACAAGGACATAGAGTTACAGGGCAAGGTGGAATGAATTCAAACTGAAAAAGACAGGATTTGGATTATATATTAGGAAGAAATTCGTTGCTGTGAGGATGGTGAGACACTGGTACAGTCTGCCCAGGGATTATGTGGCTGCCCCATCCCAGGCAGTGTTCAAGGCCAGGCTGGATGGGACTCAGCAACCTGGTCTAGTGGAAGGTGTCCCTGCCCATGGCAGGGAGGTTGAAACTAGAAGATCTTTAAGGCCCCCCTCCTACCCAAACCATTCAATGATTCTGTGAATACTTTTCACTGGGAAACCTCAGAAAAAACTCTGGATTCCTATTGAACCTGTTGAAGAACTGAGCTCGCAAGGCATTGCACCACAATTGCTGTTGTTCCCTGAAGTGTTACAAGCAGCTCCAGCCTGACAGTACTCTCCCTCCAGGAGTGCCTAGACCTTTCTGTACTTGAGACTGATGTGTTTTGAAAACATTGTTCCGCACAATGCACCTCATACTTGTCAGGGCTGTTTAAAGATCTTGCCCAATAAGCTGTAATTCATCTGCTAACTGCTGGCAAAGCTGGGAACTTGTAATAGCAAGTCCTGTGCACTCACCCTGTACCTTGCTAGTCTCAGAGTCACAGGCTGATGAACAATTCCTGGGAAGCTGCTCAGCACCTGGCAAATTCAGACCCTCTGAGAAAAATGCTTAGTGCTGTGTAATGCCACCACAGCAAAAGGACTGCAGCTATTTATTCACACTTAAGCTTGGCAGTAAATATCAATGCTCTGGTTTCAGGATATGTGTTTCCCAGTCCTTGCTCTTCACCTCTCCCTGTTCCCTGGTGCATGACCCCTGCCACTTCGGTGTGATTTGTCCCGTCTCTCCTCACTCACACTTGTCAAGTATTTCTCTTCAATCTCTCCACCCCAGCCTCTGTTCTTTTCCCCATGCCTCGATAGCCTCATATCTTGTTACCAAGAGAAAAAATGCAAACAGTAATGAAAGCTGAAGCTGCTTTTTCAGTGTGAACTGCCGTGTATTTGCAGATCGGTTGTCACCATGCTTTTTTGTTGGGTTTGTCTTGAGGGGTTTACTTTCTTTTCTCTTTTCATTTTTCTTTTCTTTTCTTTTCTTTTCTTTTCTTTTCTTTTCTTTTCTTTTCTTTTCTTTTCTTTTCTTTTCTTTCTTTTCTTTTCTTTTCTTTCATTTCATTTCATTTTAATAACTGATTAAATTTTCAGAAAGGTCTTTTTCTGAAAAGAGACAGCTTTCTGAAATCTGCAGCTGGGTCACAGCTATTTGGTGTTCACAACAGTTTACACTCATTTAGCCACAGCTCAGCTGCCTGTATCAGTTTTATCTCCCAAAATTTTTGCAGTAGATTCAAACACAGAATGTGTCTGTGTTTTATATTGTACTAAAGTTGGAAAAACACTTGCAAAATGAATTTTCAGGCTAGTTGCTGGTATCCCTATAAATCTGCTAGCATTTATTCACATTTCAAGCCTATCAGGGCCCTTCTAGTGAAGCAGAAGTGCATCTTACATGGTCAAAGGACTCAGTTATGGCTGTGTTCAGGGGTTCAAAGTAGTTGAGGGTGTACAAGATGTTTTAAGCTGTGTGTCTGTGTGTGCATGGCAGCATCTGCACCCCTTTTACAAAAACCTGCAAAGTGCTAATTGCCTCCCTGGGGATTGCACAACATTTAACATATTCTCTGTGTGATGTTCCCCTGTTCCTTCACACCAATAATTGCTGCTTTCACTGGCAGGGGAGAAACTTAGGAAAGTTAAATTCAACATGTTCTTCTTCATTTTGGGAAATTTTACCATTTTCTGCTATATGTGACTAAGTAACTACTTTCCCTCTCCTCTCACCCCACTGCTCACACAAGACAGCAGCAAAGACATGGTGCTCCATGGGGAAAGAACATTCCAAAGAGGCTCCAGCATCATTCCATGAAGCCTTTGAAGTGAGGAAAACAGGATATGGACACTATAAAAGAATGATGCTTTCTGCTGTCATCACAAGGATCCACTTTTTATGAGTTGTGCTTCTTCCTCCCACGGTGTGCCTGGGGACTGGCAACCTGTTGCCATGAGCTCCCAGCTTCCAGCACGATGAAGCCACTTTCACAGCTACCTCCCTGACCCTCCCTAGGAAATAATACAATACACAGTTCCTTATTGCACAGATAAGGCACACAGCAGGGACTTCTGCATGATGAAGGGAAAGAAGACAGCCCTGATACCTTTTTCCCTGTTCCATCAGTGCTGACCTGGCTCTGTACTTGGCTAGGAAGCTGTAAAGCAATACAAATATATTAAAGCACCCCCTTTCATTGTTGCTGTCCCACACACCCCATGAAAAGTTGTGATGTTCTATCTGCTCACCTAGCAGTGAGATATCTCTGCAGATTGGCTGGCTATGAATTCCACCCATCCCTGGCCAACAGCAGCAATAGACTCCATTTGCAGAGAGAGCATTAGGTAAACTCTGCTTCAAGGAACAGGGGTCCTCTCCTTTTTTTTAATTACACAATCTTGAGTTTTTCAGTAAAGAAGGATGCAAAGTAATCTCTGGCAACAGAGCAAATAGGACAGCAAAAAGAGAGAGCTCCTGGCTCAGTTCTTCTATTTATTTAACCATGGTAACTCCTGTCATAAGTCACTTTTTTTTTTCCCAAGAACTTGGCAGCAGATTAATGGAGGCATCAAGACCTAGTATCCCAGAAATTCCTAGAGCTGACATGATCAGAGGGGGATATGGTGCTAACCATTCCTGGTTTGCTGACTAATAAAGATGGTCCAGGATGATCTCCACAATTTCTGTAAGACATTGGGGTCTGGCTATAGCCACTCCAACAGTTTCAGCAATTTGCTGGGGAAATTCCTTTGTAGACAGCCATTCATCACATGGATGTAGTTGGCTCCTGGAGTTCTCATTGCAGGAGTATTTTTCGCCCTCCTCTGCTGAAGGTTGCCAGGCTGTTTTCATGAGAATCCTCTCTGTTTTTGTGCACTTGTGTTCCCAGGGAGATCAATGCATGTTGTTTAATTATGATTTAAACTAAAGGAGTGCCAAAGGAAGCATTGGAGAAATCAGAGATTGTGGTGTGTTTATGCTCTATTTTTCTTGCTCAGGAAGCTAAGGGATTGAATAAAGTACTGTGGAACGTGAGTTTGGGGTTAAATTTAGTCTCTCACACATTTTTAAGGGGATGTCAAATCCACTGTGAACTGTGGATTTAAATTTACCCTGGCTTGATCCTGTGCTGATCACAAGCCTTGTCAAACACGCTGAGGGTCAAAACCTTTTTGCAGGTTTTCAGACTCCATTCCAGGATAAAGTCTGGGATGGAGGATGGCACCTTATTTAGCTGCTCACCATAAAACACAGTTATTGGACTGCAGCCTGCAGCCCTGTCAGTTCTTCTGCAGAAAATTCACTTTTATACAAGGCATGCCCTTGAACAAGTATGAAAAAGATTTAGACCCTTTTCAGAGGCTACTGGCAGGGTCAGGTTCACTTTGCTCATCACCTTGAGGGGTTACTGCTAGCACTGCAGCACTTCTCAGATAAAAGAGACAGTACACCAAGAGAGCAGAAGAAAACAAATCATTAAAAAATAAAGTACAGGAAAAAGGAGATTGGTTCCAACTAGTCGCACAGACATTGCTTGCCAGAGCACAGGGAGGATGGAACAATTTATGAGACCAGTCAGGGGATACAAACATTTGGACTGAGCTTAAAGAGCTATCCAGGGACCTGCTGTTCGGTCCTTCCAGCCCAGTGAATGGCACTGCTGCTAGCATTCTTCTCAGGAAGACCTCGTTCAGCCTGGATTACTGTTCCAGCCCTAAAGAGCTCTTTCCAGATTTCTTGGCAAAGACCTGGAGCAGAAGAAGCTGCAGCTCTCAGGATGGAGCTGCTCTGTGAATATATGGGAGGCAGAGATGCTACTACTTCCTGCTTTGCTTTTCTATTTTTGCAAGGAATTGCCACTCATATTTCTTTCTCTATGTAGCAAGCACCTAGGAGATACCAAATTCCTCTTAGTTGCACATGTGCATCTGTACTTAAGAGTTTTGATAACCTTTTTAATTATTTTTCAGCTTCCTTGTTATAGTGGCTGATTTCTTCTCTCCTAATGCACATTTACACTCTATTTCACAGATATTTAATTAGAGCACTGTCTGCCTTTCTACAAAGTTTCTTCCCTCAAGTCATACCCACTTTTTACTCGTTATTCATCAATTGAAAATTGTTGTTGCACTTGCCTCTTCTCTTACATCATCCTCACATCATGGCTACAGTCCCTTCTCTCCCCAGCTCCTGGGATACCATCTTTTGAATTCTGGCTTTCTGGTGTCCCCATTCTCTAGGCATAGATGTCTGCCCATGCAAGACAAAGGCACTGCAGTGATTCAGCTTTTCCCTCTCCTGTTCTTCTGGGACTGAAGAACCTCTTCTCTGTTGATGCAACCCCATCCTTCCTCTTGCTCTTTAGCTCTCAGATACTCCCTCATCCCTAAAAATACAGCAGGAATTCAATCATACATTCTTGGCCATTCAGCAATGGCCAAGTTCAAAGCTCGAAGGGGCAGAGAACAGTGCTCAGGACACAGAATCAGGTATTGTTCAAGTTGAAAAAGACCTCTAAGATCATCAAGTCCAACCATGCAAAGTCCTACAAGTTGAACTAAAATAAAGACCACCACCATATTCACAACTAAACCATGTCCTCAAGTGCCATATCTGCATATTTTTGAACACTTCCAGTCAGGAGTGTCAGTGTTACACAGAGCAGGATAGGGCAGTGTTTTTAACTTGATCTGAAAACTTCACAGCAAGCAGCAAACTCTGGTTTACTGACTGTAGCTGAAGGGCTGCAAAGGGAACTTTGAAAACCAAGTCAGTCCTTCGGAGTTTAAGATTCATCCAAGAAGAATCTACACCCTTCCAGGAGAAAGATATTCACTAGCTGAAAGAGATTTGTAAGTGGTGGGATGGAGAAAGAGCTATCTTCACTGGCAAGCTCCTGCTGGGAGTACTGGTTTTCCTCCTTGCTTTCAAACCAGTACTTTGCTGCTGTGCTGATGTGGCTTTGTAAGTCTCCTTGCACATGTGGCTAAGCATTAGTAGTATTACCAACTCCTTTTTGTATTGCTGTGGACAGCAATCCCTGAGTCAAAATGTATTCCTGCTCTTGCCTCTGAAGTAGATACCTTTGCTTACCTCCAGTGCCTCTGAATTTCCAAAGATCAGAGTATAATTACACCACTCTGAATAATCCCAGGACAATGAAGTTAAAGCTCCAGCTCTTAAAGGAAAGTTCCTGCTCTGTGTAACATCTGCAGGGGTTAAAGCCTCCATGTTTCATCTCAGGGGAAACACTTAACCTCCAATGCCTGCATTATATTCAGTAAACTCAGAGAAAAACTGATGTCTGCTATGTTGGCACAACATCCATCTCTGTTCTCCAAGTGTTTTTTGATACCCCTTTTTGAAAGCAAGACTCAACATTCAAGGTTTGATAAGTAGAATGTCTTGGAAATATTCCTTGCAGCAAGTTGTCATTCTGTGTTCTGTAGGTCACATCTGATGTAACAGTCCTAAACCTAGATTTGGGATATGAACAATATTCTTTCTTTTTGTGGTGTTTCAAAAGTACTGTATATCTTCCTCTCTCCTCACTGAAGTCAATAAAAGCAATGTTAAGACAACTCTTTGCTTTAAAAATTGTGTCTTATCCAGTGGCAGTGAACAGCTGGATACTCTCTGGTGTGATATAAATAGGTATTTGGTGAAACAAGGGTAGTGTTTCTAACTTAAACTGTTTCCAGCTTCCTAATTCTCCCTTTTTTTTCCTGTAGGTTCACAACAGAAACCTGCTGTCCCTTGACTTTGATCGTGTGACAAGGACTGAGAAAATCTATGATGACCACCGCAAGTTCACGCTCCGCATCCTCTACGACCAGGCAGGGAGGCCGAGTCTCTGGTCACCCAGCAGCAGACTGAACGGGGTCAATGTCACCTATTCCCCAGGAGGACACATTGCAGGGATTCAGAGGGGTACCATGTCAGAAAGGATGGAGTACGATCAGTCTGGCAGAATTACATCCAGAATCTTTGCTGATGGTAAATCATGGAGCTACACCTACTTGGAGAAGGTAAGAACCTCTTAGCACTCAGAGATGGTGCATTTGAGGCACATGGGCTTTACTCCTTTGACATCAGTACAGCTGCACTCCTTCACCTCAGGTAATTGCTGGCCCTTATGGTCCAGTCCTCCTTTTTTTGTCCCACTAAGGTACACATAAGTGGCTTTGGTGCCAGATCACCACAGAGCTGTTGAAAATTGTCTGAGATGCTTTTTTCCCATTCATGCTGAGAGCATGTGAACTGTGAAGCTTTGGCATGTGATTTTTTAAGCACCATCTTGCTTTATTGAATTGACTGCAATATAAAATATGCTCAGATAAAGTCAGCAGAGTGAACAGTAGGAATTTCCAGTAGGATTTTCCATGTGAATAAAACCTATGCAGACTGACATCCTGCCTTCTTCAAGTGGCTCATTTCTGCTTACAAAAATATATGTAATTAATAAGTGAGGCATTAATTCAGCCAGACTGTTGTAGCACACTTCACAGTGTTTCCTGGAGCCTGCACTCTGTTGGTTAGAATGAAACTTATGTTTTCTGGGTATTCAGCATTACACTTCCCAGTGACCCACAGATCCATATACTATATACCCAGGACTGGAATTTTTTATTCCTGGTTTTGAATAGCGCCTATCCCTACAACAATTTAAGGAAACTGTAGTTGTGCCATGTCTTTAAAAAGGAAAAAAGTATTGACTTATTCCTTGTACTATACAATCTATGTGGATTGTTTGTTATATGCAAAAAAAATAAAAAATAAAAATCCCAGAACAAATAAGCATGCAGGCAGACGTTTAGAAGAAGGGGATAATAGAAGATGGGTTGACACAAATAAGTAATTCACCATTCAAAGATGTTGGGGAATACTTTTTCAAGCATTGATTAAGTAGCTCTACCAATTTTATTTAGTGTTCAAAGGCTATTGGCACAGGGAATTTGGTAAGACATCTATAGGGTAGTGATTTGGAAAACTGAGCATTCTGAGCTTGTACCTTCCTCAACTACATGAACTGCTTCTTCCACTGACCCACTCCTGTTTGAGGATACTTGATGTGCCATGTGCAGCTCCTTATCTCTCACTGTTGAATTCTGTGGGTGCAAAGATTTGTCCTACTTGCCCTGCTCTTTGGATTGAGGAATCTTACAGGTTTTGTGAGAGTATAATTTTGCTTGAAAAACAGGGATATAATCTATACTTCTCTTTTTCCCATCCAGTCCATGGTGCTTCTCCTTCACAGCCAGAGACAGTACATCTTTGAGTTTGACAAGAATGACCGGTTGTCCTCGGTGACCATGCCCAACGTTGCCCGTCAGACTCTGGAAACCATTCGTTCCATTGGTTACTACAGGAACATCTACCGGCCACCAGAAGGCAATGCCTCAGTAATTCAGGACTTCACAGAGGATGAGCAGCTCCTCCACACTTTGTACTTGGGCACAGGGAGACGTGTCATCTACAAGTATGGGAAGCTGTCCAAATTAGCCGAGATGCTCTACGACACCACAAAGATCAGTTTCACGTACGATGAAACTGCGGGCATGCTGAAGACCATAAACTTGCAGAATGAAGGGTTTACCTGCACAATCAGGTACAGACAGATAGGACCCCTCATTGACCGACAGATTTTCCGCTTCACTGAGGAAGGCATGGTGAATGCACGCTTTGACTATAACTATGACAACAGCTTCCGTGTGACCAGCATGCAAGCGGTCATCAATGAGACACCTTTGCCTATTGATCTCTACAGGTACGATGATGTGTCAGGCAAAACTGAGCAATTTGGTAAATTTGGCGTAATTTACTACGATATCAACCAGATTATCACCACTGCCGTCATGACCCACACTAAACATTTTGATGCCTATGGCAGGATGAAGGAGGTGCAATATGAGATATTCCGGTCTCTCATGTACTGGATGACTGTGCAGTATGACAACATGGGGAGAGTGGTTAAGAAAGAGCTGAAGGTTGGCCCTTATGCAAACACAACTCGTTACTCATATGAGTATGATGCTGATGGCCAGTTGCAGACTGTGTCTATCAATGACAAACCTCTCTGGCGTTACAGCTATGACCTAAATGGAAACCTCCATCTGTTGAGTCCGGGGAATAGTGCCCGCCTTACACCACTCAGGTATGACCTCAGGGATAGGATTACTAGACTGGGGGATGTGCAGTACAAAATGGATGAAGATGGCTTCCTGAAGCAAAGGGGCAATGATATTTTTGAGTACAATTCAGCTGGCCTGCTCATCAAAGCCTACAACAAAGCAAGTGGGTGGAGTGTGAAGTACCGCTATGATGGCCTAGGAAGGAGAGTCTCCAGCAAAACCAGCCATGGCCATCACTTGCAGTTCTTCTACGCAGATCTGACCAACCCAACCAAGGTCACTCATTTGTACAACCACTCGAGCTCCGAGATCACCTCCCTGTACTACGACCTCCAAGGCCACCTCTTTGCGATGGAGCTCAGCAGCGGCGATGAATTCTACATAGCCTGTGATAACATTGGCACTCCTTTGGCTGTCTTCAGTGGGACTGGCTTAATGATCAAGCAGATACTGTACACAGCATATGGGGAGATCTATATGGACACTAATCCCAACTTCCAGATCATCATTGGCTACCATGGAGGACTGTATGACCCCCTCACGAAGCTTATCCACATGGGGCGGAGAGACTACGATGTGCTAGCGGGTCGCTGGACAAGTCCGGACCATGATATGTGGAAGCATCTGAGTAGCAATAACATAATGCCTTTCAACCTGTATATGTTCAAAAACAACAATCCCATTAGCAATTCTCAGGATATCAAATGTTACATGACAGGTAAGACATTTAAATTAAGAAACATTTTCACAAGCTTGCCATCAGCAAATAGATGTCATGGTCTAATGCCAGATGGAACTGAGCCCCAACACCACAGCTGCTCAATTAGTCCTCCCAGGTGGGATGGGGAACTGAAAAAGTGAGAAAACCCATAGACAGAGATTGAGGTAAAGACAGTTTAATAAGAAAAGCAAAAGCTACTTGTGCAAGGAAAGCAAAACCAGGAATTCATTTTCTGCTTTCCATCAGCAGGCAGCCATCCCCAGGAGAGCAGGGGCTCCATCCCACAAAACAGTGGCTAGGGAATACAAACACCATCACTCCAAACATCCTCTCCTTCCTTTTTCCTCCCCAGCTTTACATGACACCCTATGGTCTGGAATATCCTTTGGGTCAGTCAGCTGTCCCAGCTGTGTCCCCTCCCAACCTTGTACACCCCCAGTCCCCTCACTGGTGGGGTGGGAAGCAGAAAAGGCCTTGGCTCTGTTTGAGCACTGCTCAGCAGTAGCAAAACCATCCCTGTGTTATCAACACTTCCCAGAACAAATCCAATACACAACCCTGTACCAGCTACTGTAAAGAAGTTTATCCTCAGTACAATAGGTAATTCCTCTCTCAGTGTCCTGTTCACCATGAGGTTTTCCATTCTTTAATTAATGGACTTAAGTTTTAGTTTGCCATTTGGACCCCCATGTACAGGGTATGTTTAATTCATTAGCGTAGATGGAGACTGTAATACCCAAACCTGTTTCCTTTTCTCTTCTTAGGTGCTTGCTCTTTTTATTTTGCTTACAGTTTTTTGTCCCCTCAGATACCTGAAGTTTAGCTACCAATGTCCTGATAACTTTTCTCTTTGTAGAGGGGCAGCTCTGTTTGCCTAGAGATTTATTTGCAACTAAACAAATGGCGTACAGATTTGTTTTAGCGGAATGGCAAAGCAATTTAAACCTTTCATTACAGTCAGCCATTTCAGAGTGTCTACATGACTACTAGACTACTAGTTATGTAGTTCAAAGTTAATCTGCCCAAAGACTTAACAGTATCTGCAAAAAGTCAAGAAAAGAAGGTGCTTTAGACTTAAAGGACAGATTTTGGGGCATATCTACCCCAAAGCTTGACACATCCTGTCTGGGATGGTGTCTCCACCACTGCCCTGGGCAGGCTTTTTCAGTGCTTGACATTTTGTGAAGAAATTTTTCCTAAAATCTGATCTAAACCTCTCCTGGTGCAACTTCAGGTTGTTTTCTCTTGTCCTATTGCTTTTTACCTGGGAGAAGAGTCTAACCCCCACCATACTGCAACCTTGTTTCAGGCATTTGGACAGGGCAATAAGATCACCCCTGAGCCTCCTTTTCCCCAGGCTAAACACCCCCAGCTCCCTCAGCTGCTCCTGGTCAGACCTGTGCTCCAGACCCTTCCCCAGCTCCACTGCCCTTCCCTGGTCACACTCCAGCACCTCAGGGTCCTTCTCGTACTGAGGGACCCAAAACTGAGCACAGTGCCCAGTACAGGGGGGCAATCACTGTCCTGGTCATGCTGGCCACACTATTGCTGATACAGGCCAGGGTGCCACTGGCCTTCTGGGCCATCTGATTACACTTGCATGTTTGCTGCCATCCCCTGCCTGTACTGAGATAGCAGCCCAAAGTACCTCACTAGCAAACTGTCCCTTCTACCATAGGTGTGTTGCCCCCAGGTTTATTTCCAGCCAGCGTTGTTTTATCCCTTTCCCCCTTCAAATGTAGTTTCATACTCTGTGCAACAGTGGTAGCAGTGAGAGAGTTTGAGAAGACTTTTTGGTGGGACTCTTTTCTAGACACTTCACATTGAAAAGCCAAGTGCCACAATCACACATCAAATGTACATTCTTCTTAAGGGGATAGACTTAACTTTTAAATGCTCTTGCTGTATCTATCACAACCTTCCCATATTCAACAATAATTGCATTCCCCTGAGTTATGAGATCTGCTTAATAGAAAATAAATGTTACAAAGTAAAAATCCTGGGGTTTTAATCCTGATTGTTTCTCTAGCCATTAGGATCATGGGGTTTTTTCATGAAAAGTTATTTTCTCCAGAGCTGAGAAGATGATGCCACAAGGGAAGTAAAATATGTCAAAAGATGCAGGCTAAGATCCTGTATGTTGCTCTCACTCTGATAATTAAGGCTGGGAGGGAATACCTCAAGATAACTTTTCCTATCAGAAAATGCTTATTTGTCAAAACTGAATGTATTTATGGGGGAGGCCTGAGCTTGAGAGATTTCTCAGCAGAAGCGTAAACAGCTCTCAAAATTGTCTAAATGACAAATTCCAAAATGTCCTTAAAGAAAAAATTGTTTTGTATTTTCAACCTTTTCAAGTTAAGTGTAAATTAATGATTGAAAACTGGAAAAGAAAGATAAGGAGTCAAAACCAAAATGGGGTTTAATTCAGAAGTTAATTGGAAATTTTTGGTTTTTTGAACTGATCTAATTTTTGAACTGTTGCTTTGTGGCGTATTAACAGATTTTTGTTTTCCTGCTCAGGTCAAGAGAGGACAAAATATTTTTTCTAGCCCTGTATTAGAGCAGGTGCACAGCTTCCCACACAACTCCGACAATAAAATCAAGATGTCAAAACCTGGTACACTAGTATTTTATATGCATCAAATAATTTTTTTCCATGTTCTCATAAGTTCTGTTTGTAGTTTTTCAAGAATACAGAGCCCAAATATATTTTTCAAGTTTCCCTTCCCCCCTCCCATGGAAGAAGCAGGCCATGCTATGGGATAAGTGCTGTGGCAGCAGGCTGCTACCCCAGCAGTTCTTTCTGCTCAGGGTTTCAGGCACCTCGTGGGCAGGAGCCATGATAAGAATGTCCTTGTCATCACAATCTGCCCAAATCTGGACACAGGGAACTGCTTTCTGTCCCTCCATTCCCACACTGGGACCTGCTTGTCCTTAGGGGAACTCAGTGCCCAGGACATGGGTGACCAACACGTGCTTTGGTCCACCATGATGAGGTCTCTGAGCTTAAGGAAATTGAAGGTATGTGGAGGGAGAGCAGGAGAAGCAGGTATTTATGTTTTGAGAGGCCCATTGTTAAACATGAATATTTTAGTGATTGTACACTTCATGGCACAGAGCTTTGCTGCCAGCTTCAGCAATCTTGATGGATTGAACTGACATTTCCATTACATGTGTCTGCATGTCTACTTTTTCTTTGCCCTCAAATGAATTTACTGTGAAATGTGTTGGCAGGGTTACTGTAGCTGAAAAAAACCTCTGTGATGTGAAATGTACTTTTCTGTCAAAAACATTGTCACTGCCTCCTGGCAAATTAGTATTTTCCCCTCTGTTTTCTCAGCTCCACACCTTCCTCCCATGGTTTCAGGTTGTTTTGGTGGTTTTTTGTTCTGGGTATTCCAACACCTCTTCCCAAAAAGAGCAAACTCCTGTTTGCAAATGATTTGGAAGTCAGTTTTTTTGAGAAGTATTTAAAAAAAAATTTGTATTGGATATTTCCAGACGTGTTACATATTCTTCGGCAATTCAGCATCCATGCTCTGTATTCTTTTTAGCATTTTTTAAGTGCTTGGAAAATGATTCCTGCACCAATGCTGACCTTCACTGTTTTACTTTGTTCTCCTGACCACCTGGTCCACAATATGTACATCAAAGTTCTTCATTTGAGATAAGAAGGATTTGAAAGCAGGCTTGCTTAACACTAGGCTACAAAATAATCAAATGAGCCTTTTCATTTCTTTCATACCCCCTCAACCTCTCTGTTTCAAAGACACTCCAAAAGCAATCTGTACATTGAGTGAACAGAAGTGTTTTTATTACAGAAATCCTCCCTCTTCCACATGGATTGTTGCAAGGGCTTTTTGGACATCTGCCCAATCGCAACATTTTGGCCTGTAGGAAAACAAGCAACAGATAGTCTGTTTGTTTGGCTCTTGATTCTCCAGTCATCTGGAATGGTGTTATTTACCACTTGCATCCGTAATTTCTGTTCCAACCAGTTCTTCTAAACATACATTTAGGCTCATGGGAGTAGAGAAAAAAATATTCAAGTATGCATATTTGATTATTTATTTCTTTTCGTCTTCAGATTGTTTTAGCAACGCTTATTGAGTTTAGCAAAATGAAAATCAAGTCTTTGCACTTCCAGATTGAAGCAGAGAAGTCACCAACAAAATTCCAGTTACATCCAAACACTTAAGACTCCTGGGAACTAATATTAGTTCAACTTTACCTTCATACCTTCCCTTACCTTGCAGTTGTTGTTGTGTGCCACATGCACACCATATTGCTCAGGGACTGTATCAGGTGTGGTCTCTGAAGCTAAGTGAAGGCAGACAAGGTGTGCTCATCAAATGCTCTGAACTTAAGGGGGGAAGTGATCCTAATCCCAAGCAGATCTAGGAGATATTGAACCTCATGATTTTTTCCTTCAGCAGATTAACTTTCAGCTGCTATTCCTAATAGCTGTACAATCAAAAATTAAGGAAGACTTTGTCATCTACTGACAAGTAAATGCAGGAATGGTGTCCCAAATGGCTGGTTTTCCATCACATTCCCTTTAGTGCCAGTGGTCCCTCTTTTGTATAAGACAGTAATTTATCACTAGTTGCCGTCAGTTTTCTCACCATCCATGGACATTTTTTAAGGTGTTTGTAGAATGTTCCCAAGCAAAATATCTGTCTCATGCCTGTATACTTATTTTCACTATAATGTACCTTGCAGGTAGTATGAAGGCTCACTATAAATAGCAGCATAAAAGATGATGTGACTTTACCCTGGTTTAATACTCAAACTATAGCTTCTTATGAAACATGCCAGGAAATTCTGTTCTGGACTGAGGTGGAACTCCATGGAAAAAGCAATGGCTATGTCCAGAGCCTCTTCCATGAGCACCTGCTAAATGCCTGAGCTGTCCATCCAGGATGTCCTGGTATTCTGGCACATAGCCCTAAATTTAGTCTTCAGCCTGCAGGGCCTTTGAGGGTCCTCAGGGAGAGAAGTACTGTGGTGAGATGTTCCAGGCTGACTGTAGGACTGGATAACACTTCCCAATTGGCTGGAGCTTCTCAGCCTCCAAGTGTGTTGCTGTTGCCGCACTTCTTCACACCTTCAAACAGTGCTTGGTTTCTGCTGATGGAGGACAGACATCAAGTTGGCTTTGATTTTGGGCCACTTGCTCACTGCCAGCATTTCTGTTTCAGAGCTGGGAAAGTGCAGAATTTGGCTCTGGCTGGAGGTAGAAAGACCAGATTTTGGCACACAGCTCTTTCTAGGACCATTAAGATTTCTGCTCTTCACACAAAGCAGACATTCATCATTTTGTCCAGACTGCTACAGTGCCAGCCACCATGGGGTCCTCTGGGCCTTCTCCTGGGCAATCCTGCTTGAGAGATCAGATAATCATATTTATGTTTCTCTTCCCTTCCAGATGTCAACAGTTGGCTGCTCACCTTTGGGTTCCAGCTGCACAATGTCATCCCCGGCTACCCCAAGCCAGACATGGATGCGATGGAGCCATCCTATGAGCTAATCCACACACAGATGAAAACCCAAGAATGGGACAATAGCAAGGTGATCCATGTAACTCCATACTGTATCTCATGCCCTTAGCAGGAATCTATCCATTTGCAGTGTTGGTTGAAAAAGCTCTACCTGCGTGTTGTGAGATGAAGAGCGAGTCAGACTCCATTCCAGTATTGAAATCTGACCAAATAATCACATGTTAAGTTCCCTACTGCCATGGTGCTTCTTCCTGTGATATTTTCTGGTATTTGCTCAGTGAAGTGGTGTGTTACTGTTTCTTTCTCCTACAAGAGGCCCCATTATCACATATTGCAGGCTAAATTCAAGGCCTTTGCACTCAGGATTTTTAGAAGTTAAAAAAAAAAAAAAAAAGCTAATCTTGAAATCTTGATACAGTCTAGGTTTATAAAGATTTTTTGTTGTTGTTCTAGAAACTTACTCATTCTGGTTTTAAATGTCTTAAACAAGATGTTACACTATTTCCATAGGAAAGTCTTTTGTATTGCGGAAAGTCTCTCCAGAAAGAATTTTTTGATGATATTAAACTTTAATTTTACCTGACCAGGTTTAATCCCATGTAACTGTGTCCTGCTTTTAAAAACATGCTTGTTTCCCAAGCTGTTTTGGTAAACGCTGGTGCAAAATTCAGTGATAAAATTGGCAAGAAAAAAGGTTTTGCATCCCAGTCATTTCCCCATCTTCCTGTTGGGACTTATTCAGCTGAAAGACAGAGGCAGCACCGTTAAAGGTTTGAACATGGGGTTAGGATTTGAGAGCCCTGGGTTAACTCCCAGTCCTACTACTTATTAGTGTATGACCTTGAAAGTCATTTACCTCTCAGGATTCTCTTTCATTTTGTAGCCTGATTGTATTATGGGGTGGCTTTCATCTGTTTAGTCTGAATCCTCTTTAGTCTGAACTCGAACCTGCTGTTGCTCTGTGTTCAAACATTGTAAGAGCAGTGAGGCACCAACGTGCTTGGGGAGATAAGGACGTGCTCTTGACATTTCTCCTAATAAAATGATAATGGTAGGCAATGGAATTGATTCCATTTGCCCTCCTAGCCTTTCTATCTATGGCTCCACTAAAATCTTGATGTCCTCCAGCAGATTCTTGAGGTACACATCTTAAACCAGGAGGTCACATTTCCTGAACCACAAAAGGTATCACTCATAGGTACAAACAAATTACTGTAGATTGACAGTAGTCATGTGTCAGTCCATCATTGGTACTCAGCCTCATAGCCATGCTGAGAACTAGTTAAAATGTATCAGCTTCAACTTCAACACAAAATTTGTATGAAGTCTCACTTAGTAATATAGGGAAGATTAAAAATCTCTGCCTTTTGCTTCCATGACTGGGTTGATGCTTGAAAACTATTACAGTGCAATAACTCAGTTGTGATTTGGAGCTCAGAGACTCCCTTTTTGTTTCTTATTTCCTTGGATTAAACAATAAAATGCTAATAGAAGTTCTTTCTCTAATGAGAGAAGCCTCAGGATTTTTCCTCCTCTCTGCTGGGGACACAGTCTCCCTGGGCAAAGCTGCACATGAGTAGGCAAACAGGGAAGACTTACCCAGAGATTGCACAGAAGACCATTGTTGTGTGCTGTAGATAATCACTGTCACAGAACCACCACAGAAAGTATTATTATTGGTAGTGTTATTATACTATTATTTTATCATTAGTTCATTGTATATATCTTTTCAATGTGTTTTATAGTATCATTATTTGACTTATTGAATTGCCAAGTAACTTGAGTGACAGCTTGAGGTGAAGACTGACCTTTGCTCATACAGGCAGATGAGCTGGAAATAAAATCAAGGAGAGCCTTCCCTTCTGTCCACCCATTTTAGGTGAATCTGCCTGAATGAGCAATAAAAAGAAAAGAAATTCTCCATGTCCCTCACAGGTTTTCAAAGCCAGAAGCTGCAGTGAGGGCTGTGCAGGGACCTGCTCGTTAAAAGAGGGCTTTATACATTGATCATGCTTCCAGATGAGCCCCTTTGCAGTCAGATGTTGAAAGTGGAATTTAACCATTGCAGGCTGTTTCATATTCTTCCCCTGTGTTATGACAGCAACAAAACATGAGCATTTTTATCTCTGCCTACTGTTGCAGTATCATGCTGTGATAGCAAGTGGCTCTTAAATGCTGTAGAGCAGGATTCCCTTGCTTTCTGTCACACCCAGCATATTGTAGGCACATATTTGCATATACCAAATTCATTCACATATGAAACCTGAACACATGATCCATTTTCTCCTACGCCTATCCATGCATCCAACACTGATGTTTCACATAAAGTTCTGCTCACTCCCAACCCTTTCAGGCATCAGTACACATTCCCAGATGCAGTTCAGTCCTCCTTCCCACTGGTTGTCTCTGTATTTATTGATGAAGCATGTGGAAGAAAATAGAAACTTTTTAAAATTTCACATAGGAAATGACCAAATTAAACCAAGGTAAATGGAAGCACAGGAAACATTTTCAGTTGTTAAGACTGATAAGACTGATCAAACTGTAAAATGATGTTGCAGAGCATACAAAGTAAGCTCTAGATCTTTTGTCATTTAAAAGTAGCCTGGACAGGGCATTGATCACTGAATGATGTACCACAACTTTCTCATCTCCATGTCTTCTGATCCCTAGTTTCTCTGGATAACATACCTCCTTGGATAGACAAAAGTATATTTGAGCTACTCCACTGGCTTTGCTGATCAAAGCTATGGCCCAGCAGATTAAGTCTGTTTTTTTATCAGAAAGGAGCAAGTAGGAGGAACACAACAGCAAAGCAACTAACACCCATAAATGGCTGCTTCATCTCTCTTCAGAGTGCATAACCAGAGGGCCCTAGCATCTCCTTCCAAAACATTTTTGGTATTCGCCTTGCAGGCCTGGAAGATGGGAGAGATAATTCTGACTTTGAGCATCCACCACCTCAAAAACAGCCAGCACGTCATAAACCTTGCACTAACCCCCTAAAGCTCTGAAGTGACATTTAAAATCCAATACTCCATTGTGCAGCACTTCCCCCCCGCTCCTCCCCACAACTGTGAGGCTGTCACTAAATTGTTTGTTGAACAAGTTCAGTGTTATTGGCCACTGGGGGACTCTGGGTGACCTCTGGCATATTGTGGAACTGCAGCACCTGAATCCAATTTCTCTTCTGGTTTTTTGTTGTTTGTTTTTTTTTTTCTTCTCTTCCTTTTTGTCATGTTGAGCTGTCAGGTAATTGCTGGAGTCAGAACAACTCTATTTCCAGGGAGGGGTGTTTTGGAATCAACACTTGTATTATTATCTATATCCTGTTATACCTACCCTTCTCTCCATCCTCTGGGCACTGTCTCCAGGAAGGGTCCAGTTTTCTGCAGTGCCTGTTACAGGCTTTGCTGGAAAAGTAGTTTTTGGCATCCCCTCTGGCGCAGCATTTTGGAGGCAAGGGCTGCTCTGGGATGCTCAGCCAGGAAGTGAGCTATAGGGCTGTACTTTCTGGCAGAGCTTCTTCCAAGGACAATCTGTTTGAGAGACTGGCTCTGCCAGTGTTCATCATTCAGGGAAAGCATCCTGACATTGCAGGTGCTTTGGCTTGGGCTTGGACTGTCCCTCTGTCTTCACGTCTGTCCATCAGCTCCCAGTTATGTTTTACAAATGTAGTGGTCAGTTTCCAAAAGATCTAATGCAGGGAAAGGAGCTGAAGCCTCAGAGACATTAAGCTCTTGAGGCTTTATGAAAACATATGAGAAATCTGAAGAATGATGAGCAAGAGTAGGCAAATCCTCTTACTTCTCCACACATGAAATCTGCTTGAAGAACTCAACCTCATTATCCTCCTACAGTCATGTACAGCGGCAGGGCGGAGGAGAGACTTGTCCTCTAAGCCCCTGAGCTAGTGCTCCTGTTTGGCTCATTCCCAGCCAGGCAGCATCCAGAGCACTGGCCTTGCTGGCCCATGGCTCACCTCTGCTGCCCCACGTGTCACCTCTCGGACAACCCGAGAGCCTGCAGTGCAGCCATGCTCATGGGCACTTGCAGATAGAGAATTGTCTCCAGGTGATGGCCACATGGAATATAGGGAGGAGGCTGATGGCTGAACAACACCTTTGTTAACAGAGAAATGCAGGGTAAATAAAAAGGGGGCTTATAAAAGAGAGGCAGAGCAACTTTTTACACTGGCAAATAGGGACTGGTCAAGGGGGAACAGTTTTAAATTAAAACAGTAGAGGTATAGATTAGATGTTAGGAAAAAATTCTGTATCCAGAGAGCAGAGAGGCACTGGTAAAGATCGCCCAGACAAGATACCCCATCTTTGGGATTGTTCAAGGCTAGGTTGGATGGGGCTTTAGGCAGCCTGGTGTAGTGGAGGGCATCCCTGGCCGTGGTGGGGGGGTTAGAAGAAGATCATCTTTTAGGTCCCTTACTGGCCAAGCCTTTCTGTGATAAATAGGAAGGAGTTAAAAATTGATCATATATCAGAGAAATTGTAACTTCCAAACCTTTTGCAAAAAGTAGCTTTCTCTGTTGTAAGCCATATGGTGCTAAGAGAAACACCTATCTGTCTACAATGGCACAAGGATAGAAAGAAACTTGGAAACATGTTCACGTATTTCACATCTTGGATCCTTGATGGGAATTTAAAGCTTTCAGTCTCACACTGGAAGGCGGTATTTAAAAACAACAGATGATAGGATCTGGCGATGGTATTTCAAATCCTCAAGAGGTGCTGGCAAGATGCAAGAGGCTATTCAGAGATCCCAGTAATGTGCTGCTCTCCTGAGCTTTGTGCAGCAGAGAACAAATGATGAAGGTCGTTCTCTTCTCTCCAAAGGGTTGTTACTACATAAAGTGAAATGTCACCTAAGGACATCTGATTAAAAAAGACTGTAAGGAAAAACAAACCCAGCATATTTGTCACTCACATCAAGCAACAAATATTGAAATAAAATAGCAATGAATTCCCTTCTTTCTTCTGTAAAACTGGCTTATAGATGCCTTGGTTTACAGTAGCTAAAAGCAGCAATTTTTAGAGAATAGTACATGCCACTGCAGTTTTGGATGGAAATTTTCTGTTTCTTTTCCTTGCCAGTTCATTGAAATGAGTTCTAAGATTAAACAGGAATGGTAATTTCAAAGTCAGGGATACACTGCCTCTTTGAACTATGTATAATCTGTTTGCTTCCACCCTCTTTGTATTCACAGCACAGCATACACACTGGCTGTGCTCTGGTTTGCTTTTATTTGTTGGTTGGGGTTTTTTTTCCTGTTGGATGTGTTTGCTTTTCCTTTTAACAGAATGCTGTTCCCAAATACACTCTTTTTTCAAAGAAATGCACTCAAAAAGTAATTTCAAAGTCATCCTGGGCTTGTTTTCAAGATAAAAGAGATGCATTTAGTTACTGAAATAGTTGATGGCTAATAGTTAAGTTCGAGAAACCTGGTGTAGTGGAAGGTGTTCCTGCCTGTGGCTGAAGGTTTGGAACTAGATGATCTTTAAGGTTCCTTCCAGCCAAACCAGTCTGTGATTCTAAGTGATGGTGAATGTTCAGTATTAAGGCTTTGCACATCTCATGTCCTACTTCCCTATGTGAAAAAAAAAAGTGGGGAGAGTCCAGAAGTAACCAGTCCTCAGTAGAAAACCCTCTGGTTGTGCTTTTGTTCTTGATTAAGAGACCTGAGGGTAGGTCTTCGCCTGTGAATTTTGATATACGAGCGTGTCCAGATCTACTGGTTTGTTGGGGCAACCTAATTTGGAGGTACTCATAGGGGATCTTTGCCTAATAATTTGCTCATAATCAAAAACATGCTAGAGTTCCAGTTCGTCAAGAATAAGATGATGAAGACAAAATTGAAGGGGAACAGGGGCAATTTCTGATAGGATATATTTGTCCATCTCCGGTACTGCCTGACATCCCCGAGCTCCCTTCCCCAAGGTGATAACCAGTAGATGGTGCAATTAATTCCGGGGACTCTTTATCACTCACCTGCTGGTAAACAAGGTGATGTACATAAGTGATCACAGGACATAGAAATGTAGCACAGAAGACCTGATGTACATTCTTGAGTGAGCAGTGATTTGGTATGAGCGCTGAGAGATGCCTTTCCCCATCACTAGTAAATGTTACTGAGGCAAGTTGGAAAGGCAGCATGACATAAAAAGTGGTAAGGGGACCACCTAGAGTCAACCCTTATGAGATGCACCTGAGAAGAACTCTCCGTTTAAACTTCTTTGAAGAGGAAATAGCTAATTACCAAGGCTGTGCAGTGTACACTTGTTTAGAACAGTAAGTGTTTCATGGAGCCTAGAAGCCTAATTGTTCCATGTCCATCATCACTGACATCTACATTAATTACGTCCATTTTTTGCATAATTAGAGCACTTGTGCAATTGGCAGAGAAGCTGAGCTCAGCTCCCTATCACTCTGTTAATTATATTGCTCTCTAGGGGGTATGTGAGATGCCCCACAGGCAGGATGGAGAAAACCAGAAAGAGCTCCTTTTTAATAGGAAACTCATTCCTGCTCCACCTGCTACGCTGTCAATCAAAAAGGGAAAAGGAGAAGGAACACCAGCCTGCTCAGCACTTTGAACAAAAGTAATTTCTGGGAATTTTAATATTCTACAACCTAAAATGTGCTCTTGAAACTGTGTTCCTCTATTCCCTTATAGTTTTCTCTTTTGTCAGTAAAAACTGCTCATAACTTTTGAGCAAGTCACAGTGCTCAATCCTTTTTTTTTTTCTTTAATAATTTATTACTCTTCCCTGGAAATGGCCACCATGGAAATGAGGGCTTATTTCACTTCCCTAGTCATGTTACAAGTCTTGTATGAGAGGTCCACACTGAAATGCATGCATCATCTGAATTGTCTTCTTGCACCCAGGATGTGAATCTCTAGTTCATGGACAGTCTAAGGCAATATCCTTCATGGGTGTTGAACTTCCTCAAAATAATTGGAATGGAGCAAACTTTGTAGCCTATTTTTAATCCTGGGTGTCATTACATTATTGAACTGAATCTTTGGCAGTGCCAGGAGAGTTTTGTCATAGAATTCTCTTGCTTTTGTGAAATTTGAGCAAATAATTGTTCGTGAACAGGAGTCTGTAAGAAGCCAGCACTGCCATGAACTGCTGGGAGCATTTCCAGAGCATTTTGCAGTAATGATGAGCTGTTGACTTGCTGTGTGCTTGCTCCATTATACACTAACAGTAAAGGTGATTGTGTATTGTACAGGACTGCAAATGATCTGGGCTGTTGTCTCTCAGCAGTTTTGCTTCAATATAAGCCAAAACTTGAGCATCAGGTATGGTTGGCCTTAACTCAGGGAGCCTGGCAAATTGTAGAGGGTATGCAGGAAATAAGTTTTGGATTTAGTGCCTTTCTTGAGTTTTGAGCAACCTGCTTTGGCCAGGCTGAAATGGAATACAGAGAGGTTATGGCTACTTTGAGGGTCATGCAGGGCCTTTGAAGGCAGCACAAGGTGTTACAAAGTGGAGTAAAAATAGAAGAAACTTCTACAAATACTTCTATGCTTCACATAAAATCTGAAAGCATTTGGTAAAGCATCATGGCCACAAGACAAATTGTTCCTTATATGCAGAAAAGCCCTGAAACACGACCTAATTTTGTGTCCAAACTCAACCCCCAAACCACTGAGGAAAAAAATCTTTTTCTCCCTCTATATCCTTCAGTCTATGAGATTATATACAGTTCAGTTTACAGAAACAATGAGCATTAGGGGGGGACAACATGCCTCTTCCATGAAAAAAAATTAAAATTTTGAAAAAATGTGGTAACGGAAAAAAAAAAATGGAGATCCTCATTACATGTTTCCAGTACATTCTCCTGCTCTCCAGGATCATAATAATGCCTTTGGGTCATCAGGTTTCTCTTTCTAATATGTCGTTCTCTTCTTTCTCTCCCTGCTCAGTCCATTTTGGGGGTCCAGTGTGAAGTGCAGAAGCAGCTGAAGGCCTTTGTCACTCTGGAGCGCTTTGAACAAATCTACAGCTCCAGCATCGCTGGGTGCCGGCACGTCAAGAAGAACAAGAACTTTGCTTCTGGAGGCTCCATCTTTGGCAAGGGCGTCAAGTTTGCCATGAAGGACGGGCGTGTGGCCACCGACATCATCAGCGTGGCCAACGAGGATGGGCGCAGGATCGCGGCCATCCTGAACAACGCCCACTACCTGGAGAACTTGCACTTCACCATCGACGGGGTGGACACGCACTATTTCATTAAGCAGGGGCCGTCGGAGGGCGACCTCTCCATCCTGGGCCTGAGCGGCGGGCGGAGGACCCTGGAGAACGGCGTGAATGTGACAGTGTCCCAGATCAACACAGTGCTGGGTGGGAGGACTAGACGCTACACGGACATCCAGCTCCAGTACGGTGCACTGTGTCTAAACACGCGCTACGGGACCACCTTGGACGAGGAGAAGGCACGCGTCCTGGAGCTGGCCCGGCAGCGCGCCGTCACCCAAGCTTGGTCCCGGGAACAGCAGAGACTGCGGGACGGGGAGGAGGGTATCCGCTCGTGGACAGAAGGGGAGAAGCAGCAAGTGCTAAACACGGGCCGGGTACAGGGCTACGATGGCTATTTTGTGATCTCGGTGGAGC